TTACCAACATAAAATAAATATTATGCGCACAATGAAATTTGAAAAAAATATGAGATTACATTTTTGTGATGTTGTGGTTGTTAGATAAAATGATAGATTAGGCAGAGATGCTTATAAGAAACTAACATATTATGGTTTTATTCTTAATTTTCTTTCTAACGATAGTAACAAAACTAAGTTCGAAATTTTAAAATCTATGATTATTAGGAGTATGAGGCTTGCGGACGAAAATCATCTGACCGAAGAGTTAAGAAGACTGAAAGTTTTATCCCTGGTAAATAAGTATACTCTAAGTAAAATTGAAAATAATATTTCCTTAATGAGGGATAAACTGCCAGACAGAGAATATTTAGTCAGAGACAAAAAAGTCGAGACCCTTTCGTATGTTCTAATCTTGCAATAATTTTTTTCTTTTTATCTAGCTAGAGGAGCTAGTGAAGAACTGAGGGATAAAGACAGTTTTCAAAGAAACTAACACGCTTTCTTCTGTTATACCTTCTTTTAGAGAGAAATATGATCCACTATCAAGATCCGGCTATTACAAGATTATGTCCTCCTGTGGTCGACCTTATATTGGTGTTACCTGTCGGCTGATTTGCCAAATATTAAAGGAACATAAAAATTATTGTAAAGGTTATGGTATGGTTGATTATGGTATGCCTGCTACGAAACGCGAGATAGAAGAGGTTATCGAAATTAACAGATTAAGGAATACGCTAAATATGAGGAATGGTGGTAGAAAGTTGAGTACTAATTACATATTTTTGATTGAAAGATTGAAGGAGAGATAAGGTGTTTAGCTGCTGTCCAAAAAGAAAGCGAACTAGCATGTCAACAAAGTGATGATTGAGCACATCCTATATATCCGATTTACTGGTAGTTCCGGTACCCTACTTACAAATGCTGAATAAATATGCATATATTCTACTTTCAATGCAAGGAAACCAGACTCTTCATTTTTAAGATGTCTTGTTATTTAGCCAGCCCTCTCAACAGCAAATTTCATATAATTACAATCTAATGCTGGAGTATGAATAATAATTAATAATTAATATTTCATTCCAACAGACAACTAGGCAATACGAAGTCCTAGTATGCTTGAAATTATTTAATAAAGTTGCTTTTATTATGAGTTTTCTTGACTTTTTATATTAAACACTGAGCAAAGTGATACATTTTGATTACCCTCAGTAGATTAAATAAAAAATGCGAAAATTTTAATCCAAACCATGGCTAAAATTTAGACAGATTCTACCCAATCTTATTCTACCCTTCTTTAATCATTTCTTTATCTTTACTTTTATTTCCTTTGTAAGTTCATCATGTATTCATATTCAATACTGCCAGCTAAAATCTTTTTGCATTAGCTATCTTCCTTTCCATTATCACGTGAAATTGTTTTTTTATTCGTTCTTATTTTCAAGCGAAAATGTGTTGGATTTCTTATGATATATATAAACGTAGATGAATTAACTAACGGCGTCTATCTAACTGTCTCTCTCTATATCCATCTATTTATATTATTGCTCATGGGTGACAGTGTCTTTTAATCATTGACAGATAGAAACAGCCAAATAGAGTAACTAAACTAATGCTGAGTCATCTGTCCTAAGGTCTTCAAGGTTTAATGGTATCTGCTTTTTTAATCTTGACTCAACACGGCTCATTAATTCGATTACACAACGCCTAAATACCCTTTGGTTGAATTAATTAGCCTCCTAAAAATTAGTTTGGACTTGAACTATAAACAAATTCTTGGACACAACTGTGGAGCTGCTTTTATCATAAATATGACTTAACACCCTCACTATCCTCAGTCTACCAATTACATATCAAATGTTAATGTTTAATTTCTTACCGATCTTCATAAACTCCCTAATAAAGCCTAGACTATTTGTTCAGTTTGTAACTGAAATATTATATTCTGCAGGACAAAATTTTGTAGAATTTTTTATTTCATTTTCAATTTTTACCACGTATTCTTTAAGTTCTGCCATCTAGATCTGACAACCTCAACAAGTATTCTTCTGTTTCAACAGTCTTTTGTGAATGAGGCGACTCTTGCTATCCAGGATAATAGTAGTAGCAGCCCAATTTAGAGAAGGTGTCCTAATTCTGACATAAGGTGGAAATAACCGAAGGTGTCAAGGTTACTTTCTAAACTCTTTGGATTCTTTATCTCTCCAACGGTTTGCCTATTCTTTCTTAGCAACATTCGAGCATAAGAAAAAATGCCAAATTTTATCACTTCTCAACTAGTCGGCATCCATATTGTTATTCTCTATTAGCTTAATGCTAGTTTAAATAAAACCCAACGAATAATTATTATATAGTTATCAACATTTAAGCTTTTTACCATAAGTTTATTTGAATTATAAATGTGATTTATCACCTGTGCAGCCAGGTAATATCTTTGGGCCATTGAATTCTAGGATTGGTTGTACTATTGGCTTTCGTAACTACTTATGTACCTGCATTCTAGTAATCACACTGAGACTGCCGAGGACACATAGTTGAAGGTTAAAACTCTATATATCTTAACGATAATGCCCTTTTACAATGCATTTTACTAATTAATTCAATAGCAAACTTAAGACTACTCTACTTCGCGTTATGATTAATTTTACGTTCCGTGAGTGTCAAAGCATATGTAAAACGATCTCACTTAAAAGACCTTTGCCAATTCTTTTGCCTTAATTTATGTGACTTATATCGACAGCCAATACACAATTTTCTGACAGCGTAGTTAGGTTAGTGGTTACTTAAACACAAAACGAATACTGTGTTAATAAATTTTTCAAAACAGTTTTGCAACCATATTTTCTTTAAAGAATAGCAGGATGAGGTTGACGCTATGAATATGTAGAGGATATTCATATGACCAGCCAAAACTATGTCAAATATCAATAAAATATGTTTTGTGGAGGATAAGTGAAGGAATATTATTTATTATTATGCATGCACGCATCTGCTTAAGTTCATAAGCATTTAAAATTTTCCTAATTCATTTTACAATTGTAATGAAATATATGGTTCATTTAGTTCATATATCATTATTTAGGATAAAATAATTTTAAATATGATGTCAATAACTTATTAGAAGATATGAAGACTAAGATGGTGTGGCCTTTTGTGTGATCGCAGTCTCCTTTGTTGTATAAAAGTTGTTTGACCTTGTTTTAGCAAATTGGTCATATTGGTAGGAAGGCTTAGAGGAACGCACCTAGTCCGGTATCCGTTGTATGCATGGACATTTCCAAATTTGAACCGTGGACGTGGTACATTCTCAGACGTTTTGCCGGCATCGTCAATGAGCCTTTTCACTCTTAGCACCAAACTACAACCCGTCAAAAAGAAAAGTTAAGTCGACCCTTTGACCAATTGTCTGCTAAACAGTTGTGGTCTCTCTCCCCCTCTTCTGGGGTATTCACCTATCCTATATTCACGTGCTACCGCTTCACTATCACAATTTCTTAATTGCTTATTTAAATGTGGTATCGTGTCCCCTTTTGAGCGGATTTAATGAAAAATCTTCACACCCCACGCCGGCTTTCTCATCCCACCTCCTACCATTGTGCTAGGAACGTTGATCTGAATCTGCCATATTATTCCGCAATCCTATTCCCATATGTCCTATCAGAGTCTCACTCTTGCACCGTAGGATCCGTCTCTTATCTCCATGGTTCTGGGATTTCATTTGACCATTACCACCCTAACTGTGCTACCAGAGGCGTTGTTTCACACAATCTGTCTCAAGTCTTTAATAACAAGTATAATCCTCCCTAACTGCGAAGGCCACCAAATGATGGATTCTCAAACCGGATGGGTGACGAACTTGGGGCTATAGATCTCCTTATCACTGTTCGTCATGTACAGAGGGTAATTTTTAAGGTAAAACCTATCCCTCATGGACCCCGTCTACTGTTAGCCAACTAGCACTAGTCTCTGATGCTTCTATTATGATAGGACTTAAGGAAATAGGATTTTGGTCTAATAGGACCGACTCAAATCAACATTCCCAGCACACGGGTTGAAGGGGTGAGAAATCCAGCGTTGGATGTGAAAAGATCTTATGGAATTGGCTCAAAAGGGCACACCAGAACCACATTTGAATAAGTACGTAAGAAATATTGATATTGAAGGGGTGATACGAGGATATAAGATAGGTGAATACCGCCGGATAGAAGGAGAGATGCTACAACTGTTTAGCAGACAATTAGTTAAATAATCGACTTCATTTGATTCTTTAACGAGTTGTGGTGTAGTGCTAAGACTGACAAGGCTCACTGAAAATGCCAACTACGATGCTGGCGAAACGTCTGGGAATGTACAAGTCATGTATAATTATCATGTATACTATCGACTCTGGACTATGCGGGTTCCTCTAGGCCTTGCTGTTAATATGACCAAGTTTAGAAAACAAGGTCAAACAACCACTATACAACGAAAGGTGACCGCGACCATCAAAAGACCACACCATCTTGGTCTTAATACCTCGGAATAATAGCAATAATTCTTTGAAAGTATCTTACTGAGATATTCGATCATACAGAGTTTCATTTGGTTTCAAAAATACAACAAAGCTAAAAGCATAAACCATCTTTTTAATTCGCAGCATTAAAGTAAAAAGATATAATTTGTTCTAATACTCTAGGTATGGAGCATTTTTTTAAAGGCGGTGGTCATAATATTTTCTTAGCTCTTAACTTAGAGTAATGCAGCCAATAATTGTCTCCCGACTGCTCTCCGTTATTTAAGTTTAGGGTATTTTAACCAAATGCTACCAGATTAAAATGATACTATGTTAATTCTTTTTGGTTTATATCCTAAACTCCAATGAACGGTCAGACCTCCGATCGGAAAGACATCGTAAGTTTGTTAAGGAAAAGTTTCTTTACATTCAATACAAGATAAGGACCTTCCTAACTATTGTAAAATATGATTATGTAAATAAATAGATAAATAATTTTGTTAGAAATTAGAGACATCATTTTTTTATTTTAAATTATTGGCACGCGAAAGATCTTCTTATGATTAACCTCCCCTTGACGAGCAGATGATTTTTCGATTCTAACTGTCTCATTCTCGTAGTTGGCCATTTCAGCCAGACGCGAAAGAAAGGCAAAAGGAGCTTGAATGGTCGGATCCGGAAAAGCAAATCCAATGAACTCTGCTTTCTGACTAGAAGGATCTGATGATCGTTTATGGCTTGTAGTAGATGTCAGGGATTTTGAAGATAAGGCGGTTGTACAAACCGGAGGCCAGCTGGTCGATTTGTAAGTAGTGGGTTGACAATCGGCGCTTACGCCTAAATGGCTCAAAGCTTCTGGAACCTTATTTTTAATTGTGCAGAGCGTCTGATCCCCAAAATTGCAAGGCGGACTAATTAGGTCGCCAACAGATGGAGAATTCAAACAGGAGTTCTGGGCTTCTGCTCGCCTAAGTGATCGAGTTATGCCCATAGGCAGATTGGGTGAGGATTCGGCAGTTCTTGGGCCCTGTTTGGCGGGACGATCAAAGTAGGGCGCGCCTTGGGCTTTAGGAAATAGTGATACAATTTTGGCATCAAGACCAGCTAACTGTATTGCTGTCCTATTAGAGAATAGACCTGAAAGATAAAGTGATAAATCCCTTAAATATATTGAAGAGAAGATATGATAGCATAATATGTTTAACTTATAATTTATACTTAATAAAAAGTCTGGAAGTTTTAATTGTATCCATGGTAAAAGCATAGATGAAATTAGTAAAAACTAAAGTGCTATCGTTCATTCCATTTTAACGATTAGTAATTTTGAAGTAGTGGCTCACAGCAATTGAAGGGTTTACCCCAGTAAACGGGTGTGGAGATAAGTGGGAGTGAGGGAGGATAATACTGAACTTCTTCGGAGAATATGCAACCCGACATTGAAAAAGAATTTCATGGTCTTCATCGGTGTTGACAGATACAACTAGCTTACTCTGTCGCTTAGACAGTTTGTAGCTTAGTGTTGAAGTTTACTCAGTCTATCAACGAAGCCTAAACGAAATTGTTTAGACGTCTAGAAATTATGTGATATCCGACCTAATGCCGAAAGAAGATATGACTACATTGAAAAGGGGTACCTTCTTGGAAATTACCCTATGAGCAAAACAAAGCTAGAGATTGCTTCAGACTAATTATAGAGATAAGTATGTTAGAAATTATTTATATTGGGCCAGAACCAAAAGTTCATACGATTTTGAATTTTCTATATATGGGAATAACTGTTCCGCCATATCTTGCAGGCAATATCACCCCAATTGTATAATATAGTATAAAACGTATATAGGAATTTCAGCAAAAATGCGCAGCTATGGGCAGACCATATTAATAAAACGTTTCTACGGTACTGTCAGTGTAATAAGAAGAAAATAGTTTTGGAGATCTCTTTCTTACTCTGCTTTGTAGGCAAACTAATTTGTCGCTTTGTCGGCTCATTATGCTCAGACCTCTCTTCAAAGTGTCCTCCAGCAATGACTACCGGCAACCGTAATCCCATACGGGGCTGTTGTGGCTGTGTTTTTGTCCCCATAATTTCTTCATCGACTGGCCTGATGTTTGGTGAGCACGTTAGTACAGATCTAGCACAAGACGCATTTGGAAGTAGACCTAATTTTTCTAGGTTAATTGAGGCTTCAAGATGGGAACTAGATTGTGTCTCTTCGATAACAAAGTCCGAAAAGTTTGAGGTAGATGATAATACAGGCCTCGGAGAGGCTCTTGACCAAAGTCCGACTTGAACGTTATCCACAACTTTAGCCTCCTTTTGGGAACCGATACCACGCAAGGAGAACAGCTTCGCTGTGAGGAAGGATGTGCTCTTAGTCAAAGCAGTTTCTAAGGCTCTCCCTGCGATGGTCGGCGTTAGTTTGTCATCTGGTAAGGAACTAAAAAGCATTTGGGTTTAGCATCATGTAGGCGGTAAATTCAGTAAATAAAAAATATTATTTCTATCTTCATAGTCGTTTCTATCAATATTATGTAACATGAGATGTGTTCATTCTATTACGTTAAATGTGGTGAAGGGCAGGTAGCTTAATTTTCCCGCAATCATATGAGTATACATGGCGTTCCCATTGAATTTTGCATAGCTTTTCTTCCCCCGAAGCTATTCTCAACCAGGATGAACTACAATTTAGACCTCGCCAAGGTCTTATTAACACCCTTAGCGGGAGTTGAACAATGACAAAGCAGCATGTAATCTCGACACATTAATCACTCCCTTGGTTTACAGAACAGATATGAATTTCAACGAAAGTCAGGCTTTTTCCCATATCACATTCTTTGGTAGGATTGTCGGTAAAGCAAAGTTATATTTGCTTTGACAATCGACTGCATTAATATTTTTTTCGTTTATAAGTAGGGTTTCGAGATAACAAATAAATCTGTTATATGAGGTGTTTTCATTCTATTTCGTTTAAGCTGATGAAGGACTAGTAGTTGAATTTTTCCACAAAATGATATGAATAGAGCTGATGCTTCCATTGAGTTTCATAGAGCCTCGATTTTCCAAAGTCAACCCTGGATATGAACATCTTTTAGGAAAGCAAAGCTATGTGAAGGTCGATGGAAACATCAGCTCCACTCAAATCCTTCAAATACCAGTCTTCCCTCACCTTAAACGAAATACGGTGAATGTATCTCATATAATTGATTTACTGGTTATCTCGAAACCCTAATTATCAGCTAAAAATAATATTAAGTAAATTATTAACTTCTGCCTTTATTCAAAAATAATTATTCCCATGTTCCAGGTATATAAAAAAATAAATTAAAATTCGGAATATACAATTATATGCATACATTCTTATTTACAGCTCGTTCTCTCGGATAGCATTCAAATATTCCATCATGATATTAGATGAAACATAATTTCTTTGATCGGTCAAACTTGATAGATTGATAAAAAAATATGACATGTCATTTGCCAAATAAAATATAGGTAATAAATATTATATTACTACCTCATAATTCCAGCTTCTTAAGGATAATTATATGAGTAAGCCAAATGATTACATTGAACTTACTTGGCTCTTTCTCCCAAACGGTTTTCTCATTCTGGGTAGGATTTAGTTAAGATATCGCTTAAGCCTTTTGCACACCAAAAGGGATTATAAACGGAGTCGTGAGCATCATAACGGCAATTTGATATTTTTTTACAGCGTACGCTAGTGCCACTGGGTCACAGGGCAAGTGGGATATCCAAGGCAGGTTAGGAATCTACTAAACCACAATTTATTATGGGATCATCGATGAAAAAATCTTTTGTAAATTAAGCTAGACAACGTTACTTATTTGCAATATCAGTAACTCAAATATTAATCCTAAAATCTCCTTAAGTAATCTAAGCTGATAAGATATGAAGACCAAGATAGTGTGGCCTTCGGTTGGGTCGCAGCCACTTTTAGATGTATAGAAATGAGTTTAATTCGCTTTCGCAAATTGGTTGTGTTGTCAGGGCGACTTAGTTGGACTCACCTCGTCCGAAGTTTTCTGCTGGAGCAGTCCTCATATTTCCCGCCGTCAGACTGTAGACTTGGTACATTCTTAAAAGTTTCGTTGCAGCGACTTGTCTCTATGGCCAGTTGTAATTTGGTTCTGATAATGTCAAGACTCACTGATGATGCCGGCAAAACTTCAGAGAATGTCCCAAGTCCATGGTCTGACGCTAGGAATTATAAAAACTACTATAGCAGAGGACTTCGGACGAGATACGTCGAACTAAATTCCCTTGACAACAGGACCAACTTGGAAAAATAAAGTCAACCCACTTCTAAGTTGACTACGTTTATATTGTGCATATATTTTGCGAAAAATCGAAAGGGAGTGGATTTAGGTGCCAATGACCGACTTCGAGACTTATAGCGAAAGATCGGTTGCGCTTTTATTATTTAAATACAGAATTGGTGCGCATCTTCTTTGTTTTACGCCTCTGATAAAGTTGAATCTTAAGGAAGGGAAGACTTAGACCAAAGTTTGATGTGAGACAAAATTCATTATTACTGCTGCTGATCACTTGATGACCTTGTGAAAAGTTATTTGAAGGTATGAAGGCCAAGATGGTGAAGCCCTCCTTTTGGTCGCAGTTTCGTTTCGCTGTTGATGACTAGTTTGGCTTCGTTCTTGTATCCTCGATGTATTGTCAGCCATCTTAAATATTTTAGTACACTTCAACTTTAGTGCTAACAAAAATCCTAGACATAATGCTAGTCTTCTACCATACATATGCATAAATTTGACATATCTGGTAGTCATAGCCTTATTCTCATTTTTATCATTGGGAGCCAAAATTATAATATTTTAGATAATTCATATGTTAAAATAATAAAATACGAAAATGGGTCATTCTTATGATTCGAATTACGAAAAAAAATTAGATTTTGCTTCAGGTATTTTGTCACCTGTTACAAAAAGAAAGGAAATGAACGTGAACCTAATAAAAAATTTATCAACTTGAATTAATGATTACAGAGGCAATCACACTTAGAATCCTCAAACAGCCTTATAAGAGATTTAGGTAAACTCAAAAGGATACTATACAAAAAAATGTTTCATGATT